TAATATGGAGACTGCCTGGCTATATAAGGGGTATATAAGGACCCTACAATGGTTATGTAAGGTACTGGGATTAAGGGTCCCTAGTAGGGGTCCCTCCTAAAGTCCTTAGACTCTTGGCAACTCGCAGGGCTCAGGCTTTAGGGGCTTATGGGTTTAGGGTTTGGGGCTTGTGGGGTTTGGGGCTTGTGGGGTTTGGGGTTTAGGGGTTTGTAGCTTATAGGGTTGAGGGGTTTGGGGCTTATAGGGTGTAGGGTTTAGTGTGTTTAGGAGTTTAGGGTTTATAGGGTTTAGGGAGACTCTCGATCGGCTGAGGAGGATCTTGGGATTCCTTAAGTATCCTTCGGCCACCGACGCCCCGAAACGTACGAATGACGTTGACCCCAAAACCTAAACCCGGCAAGGCCCAAAAACCCTAAGCCCGTAGACCCTGAGCCCTAAAACCTAAACCCAAAGCTCCTAAACCCCAAACCCCCTAAGCCTAAGCCAGAACTCTAGACTGTAAAGCCCTAAATCCTAGACCCTATAAGCCCTATACACCCTAAACCTCTAAGCCCCAAAACCCTGATAACCCAAAGCCCAGACAAAACCCTCAACTGCATATTATGGCTATAACTGCAATAAGGAGCCCCGAAAACAGTACAGTTAAGACCCCTATATTAACCCAAAGCCCAGACAAAAGCCCTCAACACACCCAACACCCTTAACCCAAAACCCTAAACAAACCCCTCAACTGCCCAAACCCTGATACCCCTCAAAACCCTAAACCCTAAACCCTAAACCTAAAGCCCAGACAAACCCCTCAACTGCCTAAACCCAGACAAACCCCTCAACTGCCTAAACCCAGACAAACCCCTCAACTGCCTACTGTAAACCCTGAACCCTAACCCGTAAACCCTAAACCCTAAACCCTAAACCCTAAACCCTAAACCTTCAACTGCCTGCTTCTGCCAGCCGTTGAAGGCGGGATAGACGTGCCGGCGGCACTCGTGCGGCCTCTCAGGAAGAGGTTTGTTCAGGGCCGCCGACAGCAGGTACTGTAGGGGCCTTAATAATTCGAACAAGGTTTGGGGGTTTAGGGTTTAGGGTTTAGGGCTTAGGGTTAGTGTAGGAGCGTTAGGGTCACCTCTGTCGCAAAAACCCCTCCCTAAACCCTAAACCC